CAGGAGGGGGACAGGAGGGGGAAGGGTTGCAGTGCACCACCCCCTACACTCTCACATAATGCACAGACAGCAGAGAAAAACATGAAATTCAATCTGTTTCCACGAGTTACGTAACCACCGCATGTTCTCAGTGGATTCGACCTCAAATTCCGTAATAACCACCTGATATTTTATGGTATTTTTGTGATCTCTTCTTCTCATTTAGTGTCTCAACATACATACTGACGTCTACTTATCAGAAGATCGTTGGATAACTACCAGAAAATAATTATTAACTGTTTAAGTCGCACATAATATTAGCGAAAAGAATTCAAAGCAAGTGAAGTGCAATCGAAAATAAAATGAGTTCTGGAAATCTGCTTGAACGTAACGACTACATGTACATTTGTATATCAGGAAGTTCAATTTATCTAAATGTACTCGAATGTTTATGTCATTGTTAAACTAATATATACACACGGTAAACAACTCAGCTACGGTGTAATCCCTAGAAGTTGTATTGGAAACATTGGCTTTCATAGCTGACTGATACCCTACTTCTTCCATTAAAAAGCAATACGATTTCTGCATTTCCCCCATTTTAAAACCCGTAGACTTGTTTTAGCACAAGACAAGTGCTCTGAGACACTTATACTTTTCTAGACTTGGATTCGATCCCTCCGCTTCACGTTACTTCACGCCGAACTCTTCAGTGGATCCCTCCTTCAAAAGGCTAGTGTACCTAACAAATGGGGGCAAATTAAAGTCATAACATAATCGTTACGGGCACGTTAAGGCTCTATCCTACATACGACAGTTACTCCGCCCCCTTTCTTACTTTGAACCTACAAGATGAAAGGCCTTCCAATTTAATAGACACGTACAGGGCATGCATTTTAGATAAGAAACCTTCTCTATATCTGGAAAAATTGTGCTTTCTCAAGAAAAAATAATTAAAGCATTCATATAAAATACATGTGTTGTGCTAAATCGCAGTGTCTTTGATCCTCGAATGAGTTTGTCGTAAACCTGGCGGTACAGCATTTCTATAAAAGGAACACGTATTACAAGGCATATCTAGTTTTTTCAAATGAAGGAGATTAATTTACGGTTATATAACTTTCGGTTTTTAAAAGGAACGTTTGTCCATAGATTAGAAGGAAGTGGACCGGGCTTTCAGCTTTTATGACAATTAGATTTCGTCATGGCGTGATACATCACACCATCACCCCATCCTGGTGACGTCAATAACCCACATGGTGCGGGGCTCAAAATGATCACTTGAAATAAATTGCAGTTGAGAACAATAATTTCCCGTTAAGCAGTTATTCATGGCTATAGCGGAAGCTGCGTGGAAAATGATTACTCAACATCCGGAATGTAAATGTTTATGTTTGTCACGGGCCCTATGTTGACAAAATATGTGAGTCATCAAAAATGTCGTGCATTAACGAGACAGATATATGGAGAGTTTTAACTTAAATTGTAAATGAAAGATGAGTTCGTGTCATAAAATCATATTCAAATCTCCATTTGCTCAATCAAAACTAGAAAATAGTTTTAGGGCAAAGTACGGTGAGATACTTACATGTAGTACAATGTACGAAGTAAAACCGTCTGACGATAACGTTATGTTTTCGTGTATAACAATAATAATCTTTACTAAAATATCGCACCCACTATACACCAAGAGGCCCAGATGGCCTGTATCGCTCACCTGTTTCTTTTGTTACATGGAACTGATATATAGGTTACTTAAGACCAAGGTAACTAGAACACAAGTCATTTTAACATCTCTTAAACGGTTTTGAAAATATTGTTGTTTGAAACTTGAAATTTTAATTTGAAAGCTTTTAACCCATGTTGACATTTGACTTCCAACTTGCACTTTAAGTTGACCTTTGACCTCATTACTATAATTAAGAAAACAATTCACACAGCTGGTCTACATAACACACCCAAGTATCATGACTCTAGTCAAAATGGTTCTTAGGATATTGTTGTTTGAAGTTTTAACATATTTGACACCTGTGACCTTGAAAGTAGGTCAAGGTAATTTTAATGAGGAAACTTTATAGCACTTCATCCCAGGTACCTACTGGCCAAATATCATGACCCTGAGCCTTATGGATTTTGAGAAGAATATTATTAAAGCCTTTGACTTATGTTGACCTTTGACCCCGACTTGCACTTAAAGTTTACCTGTGACCTCATGATTACTGTAATTAAGAAAAAGATTTGCACTGCTGGTCTACATAACATACCCAAGTATCATGACTCTAGTCCAAATGGTTCTTAGGATATTGTTGTTTGCAGTTTTTAACATATTTGACCCCAGTGACCCTGAAAGTAGGTCAAGGTCATTTTAATGAAGAAACTTTATAGCACTCCATACCAGGTACGTACTGGCCAAATATCATGACCCTTGGCCTAATGGAACTTGAGAAGAAGATTGTTAAAGTTGACATTTGACATATTTTTTGTTAAAGCTTTTAACCAAAGTTGACATTTGACCCCCGACTAGCATTTAAAGTTGACCTTTGACCTCATTACTGTAATTGAGAAAAATATTCGAACTGCTGGTCTACATAACATACCCAAGTAACATGACTCCAGTTCAAAAAGTTCTTAGGACATTGTTGTTTGAAATTTTTCACATATTTGACCACTGTGACCTTGAAAGTAGGTCAAGGTCATTTTAATGAGGAAACGTTATAGCACTCCATCCCAGGTACCTTCTGACCAAATATTATGACCCAATGTCCTACAGTTCTTCAGAAGAAGTCGTTCAAAAGGAAAGTTGACGGACGGACGACGGACGCCGCAGTACGGCATAAGGGCCAGGTGAGCTAATAACGAGAAACAAGAGCTATTGGAGAACAGCATAGATCGCCTATTCGTGAGATATGTTATTATGAGATAGCAAATATCAATAGAAACACTTGTACAGTAAAACCTCGATATAATGCCCATCATTTCATTTCCCACCTCGCTTAGTTACTGCCAACATATTTCAAGGACCCTTAATTCTGTTTTTCTTAAGAATTCGTTTATACGTTTCCCGGCCTCACTTAATTGTCAACCCCCTTTAATAATTTATAACGCCAAAATTTCTTTGAACAAATGGTGGCAATATAACGATGTTTTGCTGTGGTACATTTCGAAAGCAGCGATGATCAGACAACGTGAAATATCCAACAGCGTATTGATGGTGGTGATCAATACTGCACACAAAATCTTGCCCAAAAACTTAAAGCAGGTCCACGTAAGCAGTTTTTGGCCCCTAAAATATGGTTCAACACGTCTTGACAAATGTACATAGTCAAAGGATGGTTTGGCGGGTATGTACATTGTAATTTGTCTTGTTAGTGGGGGGCAGTGTTGGTAGTAGCTTTCACAAGTTATCTCTGGCCCTGACACCAGACATAGACATGTTGACAGATCGAGGTACGTACGTTTAGTCTCGTTTCGTCTAGCCGGGTTAGGATAGTAGTACTAAAGTCAGTGAGGGCAACCGTCTTCATCTGACCATAACAGCTGTGGAGACGTTATTCACTGAACAAAACAAAATATTTAACAGTGAGAGCGGCGTTAGTTTGTAAGGTAGGGGATGTAATACGTGTAGGTCTAGTCGGGAGAAGGGATACTTACAACGTGGTGTTAAAATCCACACATAATCCAGTATGCATTCGGCTGCTTCACAGAGTTTAGCCTTGAATCTTATCCCCGGTATGACCTTGATAAAATACAGATGATTTATCAGACACTCGCGCTAGTATGTAATGGACGCTTCCGGACATAACTACTTTCCACTGACCTACAAATATTCCAGAAGTTTACTCCAATACCCACAAGATAACCCAGGAGTATTAAAGAAATAAAACGACAAAGCTCATCACAGTTGCACGTGATGATAATCCTATCCGTATCGGCCACATCCCCAGTTTACCAGTGATCCGTACTCGACAGGCGGTAACGTATGTAGCAAACGGAGGCTCCCTAATCATCCCCCACATGTAAACGGAGAGAGGGGGATGTTAGGGGTCACGGAAAGGCCAGTCATTATAGGACAGCGGGATGTACTACTGATTTGAACTCGACTGACCTAGCCAAACCCACAGGCACTTGCTAATTAAAACAATATGTATATTGAAACCTTTCCTGATTGTTAGCATGCTTGTGGGTGTACAACTTCTAAATCGTCCAATACTACAAATGTACTTCCTGTGATTGTGTGACGTTACTGTACAACTTCTCAATCGTCCAATCACAGGGTCACGTTACAAATTATGTGTGTTGTGTACCCGTATCAGTATAGCATATGTGTATTTCAGACATTTGTAACGTGAATGTGTATGTGTGTTGTGACCCGTATCTGTATAGCATATGTGTATTTCAGACATTTGTAACGTGACCCTGTGGTCCAATACTACTTCCTGTGATTGTGTGACGTTACTGTACAACTTCTAAATCGTCCATTACTACTTCCTGTGATTGTGTGACGTTACTGTACAACTTATAAATCGTCCAATACTACTTCCTGTGATTGTGTGACGTCACTGTACAACTTCTCAATCGTCAATACTACTTCATGGGTACTCCACCACAACTAATCCCGAACCCACTTAAACAAGATGGGGGGACCAGTGCACAAGAATGTTTTGACTTATTAACGGTTATATAGTCCATACACACGGTACAAGGCATTTATAACACAATTTCTGGGTTGTAGCCTAAATGTAATTATACACATATCCTACATTTTAAGTAAACTGTCGATATATGAGCACGAAATATACCTTTTCGTCAAATTGATTCAAACACTACAGGAAAGATATTAAACCTATTCCTGTACAAAGATGTTTTTTGTCTATCATTGGTAGGTAAGAAATCGTATCGTATCAACTAGTTGGTTCGTACATGTAGTTTGCCTGAAGAGTTGCCCAATTAAAAGTAAGGATAAAACAATAACGTGTAAATTGAGGTTTCAGAATGTTTATGTTTAGGCTTCAGGCTGGTTGTTAATAATGGCATCGGTTTACATTGGTACTTAGTCATAATTCGCCGCTATTACTGTGAAACTGCACAATGTATTTGTACTGTGAAGCAGCCCATCGTATTCACTATAAAAACATCCTACACAAAATGTACCTGGGTCGTCGTAGGGTATTCAATATAACGAAAACTCGTCATGATAATGATCGCCGTTACGTTATAGGTTGTCGTTCATGATTACTACGAATCAGAATACATAAAACTACATACAACTGAGAGTGTGCCACAAAGTACGCTTCTAGTTCACACTACATGTATATCTAAAATAACCGTTTCAAACTGCTCAAACCATATTTTATTGCCACAAGTTTGAACAGCGGATTACATTACAACGTACCCAACTAACGGAACTTTTTGACGAATCAAAGCGGTCATCCAAATATTCACGTAAATATTTAAAACTGAAAAACAAACATTTGTGTTACCAAACTTGATTTTTTTCTTCGCTTGTTATTGCACAAGTACGTATGCCGGGAGTTACATGTAGTCCGAATTATTCTGACGACAGACCGATATAAAAAAGTCGATAAAACGTCAGAATAATCCGGACTAATTTCCCGCATATTATAGAGGGCCGGAGTTCTGACGTTAATCGACGACAGACCGATATAAAAAAAAAGTCGATAAAACGTCAGAATAATTCTGACTAGCCGGGAGTTTGATAACCAATTATAATATATTGGAGAATTGATCATGGTTCTAAAAACAGTAGACTGAAGAAGAGCAATTGAAAAGTACCTACCATGACGTGGTATCCAGTCCTATTCGTCCTTATATATAGGATAGCCTTACTTTAGGACCTGCAGTGTCACTAAAACAATACACTATACCGTCGCGTTATGTGGACGTCCTGTGTTGGTTACTGTTACACTATAAACATTATAAACTTAAACGTGTCACATGACAGAATGGGAGTTACAGACTACAGCGTGTAAATGCCATCCCTAGTAAAACCTGGCTGACCTTAATCGATTTCCTGTGTGAAAAGAGATTGAATGGGGGAGAGAAATGAGGTCACATGTAATTATATAATTGTAGACTTCCGTTAGAGTTTCAACGTTTTTCTATTGTGAAGTCAATATCAAGTTTTCAAGTTTTATTCATTCACTCCGACACACTTACGTGTGTAACAAGAGGTCACATACATATACACAAATGTAGTAAATATGATACATGGCGTGTGATGATTAGTACAAAATGAACAATCCTTGCATTTGTATTTGACTTGGATAAGTAAAATAATATTTTGGTATATAGTTCTCTCTTAGACATCTAACTGAATCACTTTTACATTTAAATAAGTAATGAAATTCATCTCCAATGTCGGAATTACATAATGTACAGCTTCTTTCTTGACGAGGAATACCTAACCATCTTCCTTTTTCTATACAAGAATATCATCAAACCATTTCTGTATCAATTGATCCTCTAGTTTACTTTTCACGAGCCTCTTAGTTTCGTCTTTTGAAAAAGAGCATGTAGATTGATAGTAACACACATAGTTCAGGCCAGTTTGGGATAAAACATCTTTAACATATGGGAGCCATTTAAATGGCACAGCTCCATTTTCTTGTAATGTATACATTACAATGTAGCTTATAATTAGTACTTGATAACTTACTAGAGGTAATCAACTTATGCCAGAATACTACATGTAATATTCTACAATTGATTTCGATGTCTAGTGGGTATCTTCCAAGCTCACCATAAACAATGAAATTGGGTGTACTTTTTCTTACATTTAGTATATATTTACAAAATTGATGATGGATTTTTGTTATAATATTTGTTTTTTCAAAACTCCATATTTCTGATGAATACAGAAGAACTGGCATGATTAAGGAATCAAATATCTTCAATTGTAGATCAGCTGGTAATGATATGTTTCTCAATTTCTTATAAACAGCAAACACTGATTTCTGTGCTTAGAATTAAAGATTAATCCTAGGTAGGTATACCCTTCCAGTATTTTTAATTCTACGTTACATAATATAATATGGAGAGTTCTTGCACATTTTCTTTTTGAAAAGATGACAACTTTTTCTTGAATTAATAGTTAACTTCCAAGTACTACAGTATTGTTCAAATTCATTTAAAGCTAATTGTTATCCATCTGGTGTTTCTGAAAACACGACAGTATCATCGGCGTATAAGATAATGAACAGTTTGAGATACACTCCAATGTTGTCAATACACAGTTTGTCTATTGTTTGAAGACAATTTACATTTTTTCAACAAGATAAGTTTATAAATCATTTAAATAAATTGCAAACAAAAATGGCGATAATGTTCGCCCTGTTTTAAACCGATCTCACAATTGAACAAATCCGACTGTTCACATCCATTTTTAACACATGATTCGGTTTTATCACATAACGTAAAAATAATATTGATTTTTTTTTCCAGTAAGGTTCCTTTTTTGGAGCTTTTTCCACAGACCAACTCTCCATACAGAATCGAACACCTTACTAAAATCGATGAACGTACAATAAAGTTTTTTTCCTTATGAAAAATATATTGAGATTAAGGAATGTTATCGGTTGTAGAATGACTCTTTCTAAACCCAGCTTGTGCACTGCTTATAAGGTCAAACTCGTCAGAAATGTTATTTAACGATTATTAATAACCGAAGTGAACACTTTGCCGAGGCACGAGACCAAATTGATCTCTTTATAATTATCCGGATTTTTGGGATCGCCTTTGTTTTTATATACTGGTTTTATAATACCAATCCTCCACGCATCTGGTATAGACGCAGTATTCAAAATAAGGTTAAATATTTTTTGATAAATAGTTAAAGTACATCCATTGTACTTTTAAGATATTCATTTAGAATTTGATCTATACCAGAGGCTTTACTATTTTTCAAATTGATTAAAGAAAAATTAATTATCATCAAAAATACTAATATCAGAGTTTGCAAGTCCCGTATCAATGAGAGCCCGTCTTAGTTATTGCAATTAGCTGTGTGTGTTAGTCACTGTGCAATAAAACACAACACTATAGACACTTACTTAAAGTAATGAACCTCCCAAAATTAAACGTTTAACCCACGAATCGTAAATGTTAACCCTTGAACTCCGAGCCGAAATACCTCCATCCGTGTACGTATACATAGCCGAAGTTCTAGTTCCCAAAATCAGACTCTGTTATTACAATATTACACTGTAAACAATTATCTACAGTGTAATACAGGGGTCGGATATACAACGATATATACTGTGCTAGTCATGTCCCTGTGTAATGAGTGACTGAGTAACACATGATTGATCAGTGCTCACACCTAATGTGTTAAGTAGTAACAACAATTAGGCCTGTTCTAGTTACAAGTATGCACGTACCTTTGACTGTTGGTGGTATACGACGAATTAAACGAACGTGGGTATATATTGTACTTCTAATCCTTGATCGACGAATCCCACAAACTGATCCCTACAATGTATACGTATACGTACTAAACGTACGTACCGACTGTGGAGTAAGTAGGTCAGACTGACCAAACGGTGACCAGGTCATCACAAATACCTATCCCACTGTAAACAGATGAACGTATTTACTTAACAAAGCTAGCTTTCATACCAATGAGTTCGCACTCCACACGTGCGCGATATAAGCTACTACGCATTCTCTGTGCTATATATATATGCACATCCGGTGTATACTTAATTTAAAAGATTGTTGAAATATCAGACACGACATCACATTACACAGATCCGGCGACTGGTACAGTAAACGTTCAGGCCGCTCAGTTTGACGTCGTGTCTACCTGTGAAAATATACTTGTTTTATAACAGTTTTGAAACAAGTTCTGTCAATCTAATTAAAATCAGATCCGAATTCCCGTTCATCTACGATACTCCTAATGTAAGAGTATCGTAGAGGAACGGGAATTCGGATATGATTTTAATTAGATTGGAGTTCTGTCAACTTACATCAATCACTCTTGCTGACCTGGGGGTAGCGCACATGGTCTTTATGTGGAGAACCGGAGTACCTGAATAAAACCCACTCCCAGACAGGTGACCCCATACCTTTTTACGTCCGATCGGGGAATTGAACCCCGGTCGTGTTAGTGAAAGAAAAAGACTGCTCCCTCGGAATGAATAAGGG